TAAAGCGACCAAAACACTGGCTTGCATCCATAGATGCTTCTCAAGCAAATCCCGGGATGTCATTCTCCCCTTGTACTCGGCCTTAGTGAGGCCGCAGCTGGAGTACTGCATCCAGTTTTGGGCTCCACAATTCAAAAAGGATGTGGAAAAGCTTGAGAGAGTCTAGAGAAGAGCCATGCGCATGATCAGAGGTCAGGGAAGCAGACCCTACGATGACAGGCTGAGAGCCCTGGGACTCTTTAGCCTGGAAAAGCACAGGCTCAGGTGATCTGATGGCCACCTACAAGTTTGTCAGGGGTGACCACCAATATCTGGGGGAACGTTTGTTCACCAGAGCGCCCCAAGGGATGACGAGGTTGAATGGTCACAAACTACTACAAGACCATTTCAGGCTGGACATAAGGAAGAATTTCTTTACTGTCCGAGCCCCCAAGGTCTGGAACAGCCTGCCACCGGAGGTGGTTCAAGTGCCTTCATTGAACACCTTCAAGAGCAAACTGGATGCTTATCTTGCTGGAATCCTATGACCCCAGCTGACTTCCTGCCCTTTGGGCAGGGGGCTGGACTCGATGATCTTCCGAGGTCCCTTCCAGCCCTAATGTCTATGAAATCTATGAAAGAAGCTTCTTTCCTGATTTGGGATGGAAATATTTTCAAAATCTCAAATTTTCTCAAGAGAAGAATTTTTTTCTGCCCATCTCCATATTTAAGTCATTGGGACCACTGAAATGAAAAAAGTGTTGCACCTATGTAAGTGTTTGCTGGGCTGGTGTCTACAGCTATGTTACTGTTTTTTGAATTCTTCATTTTTACAGTAAATACAGTATGAATAACGCATATTATACAATGATTAGTTATACATGGCTTCCTAAGTGCCTAAATTGCAGTGATGACTGGAAGACCCTTTAGGAAATTCTGAGTTTTGCAAATTGCCAAGTAAATGAACAAACTTAAAGCCAGTGTAAAGCCTCATAGAATCCACATTCTTCATGTACATTGACAGTTTTAGTCATTTCTGATGATTCCATATAATACATTATTAAATGCATCTAGATTGGCAGCAAAGTCATTAATTAGCAGTCATGTGAGTGCCCATAAGAAGGAGTTAGATTTATTTTATCCTATTTTGCTGCAAAAGGAGAAAAAATTGCCAAGTAAAAAGGGACAAAATATATAGACAGAAATGTTCTTTTGTGCTTTCAAAGAGGATAATACAAGCAGAGCCGTTCTTAGGGGTGTGCGGGACATGGGGCATATCAGCCCATGTGGGGCCTTGTGGGGTCAGGGCTGGTGAGTGGCTGGACCATGGAGCCAGCAGCAGCCCCAAGCAGGGCCTATATGACACTGTCTGTGTGGCGGTCTCCCCTGTTTGTCCGCAGTCCCACCCCCCGGGATGGCCCTGATTACAAGTGAAGCTTTTAGTAGTTAATGCTAGTTCATTGACCATGGAGAGCTAAATGAAAAGATACGAATAGTATGGGAGATGGCTGTTTTTACATTTTATTTACTCACTGTCTGTCATTTTACTTGCATTTGTACTTATTTTCTAGGTCTGATCAGTCACTAGATTTTGCCATGTTATGGGAGCGCTTAAGCAAACACATTTTATTCCTGAAAAAACACAATGTTTTGCTCACAGAAGAAGTAAAAGAAATGTTTGGAATTTTGCTGATTTCAGAAAGAAATTCACCAGGTGGCCAGGTGAGCAGTCATGATCATTCAGGTGTTATCCTTATTGGTAAATCAGGCTGTGTGTGTGTGTGTGTGTGTGTGTGTGTGTGTGTGTTTGTGTGTGTGCCTTGGGTCTGCTTCTACAATAGTAGTTCTCAACTTTTTTTAGCTGCAAGGCACACTTCCATAACTTCTGAATTTAGCGACATACCATTTAAAAAACTAATGAACATATTACCCAGCTTACCTTCTTGCACCCAGGGGGAGGATGCACTTTCCATGTCGCACCCTGCTTCACCCTTAAAAGGATTGCATGGAGTCCCATTTGAGAGTGACTGTGGTATAGCCTGGTGTTTGAGAGAGAAGTAGAAAATAAGAAAAAACAATTTTATTTATGAAAAGTTTTTAGCTAAATTAAATATAGCCTGAAGCAACTAGTATTACTCCCTGTCATGATACTTATAGAAGGCAGGGCAGACTTGCATCTTATAGACTAACCAGAGTAGGGGGTGGGTGAGTGTACATGTATGTGAATACACGCACTCCCTGCACTCCCACCCCCAGCACAAGCTTTGTGAGCTGAAGCTCACTTCATTGGATGCTGTGAAAGGATGTGCAGAAAGTAGAGTATAAGAAAGAGAGAAAGACAAAAGACAAAGGAAGTGTGGGGGGAGAGAGAGTGGAGAAGGAGATGGGGCAGTCCTGGGAGAAACGAGGAAACGAGTGGTAAACCCAAAGAAACAGTCACAAAAACTAATCCAGATAATGGGACAGTACACAGAGTCCCTGTTGGCTGTAGATGATGGATTTAGTTAATAGGTTCATAGATTGTAAGGCTGGAAGGGACCTCCAAAGATCATTGGGTCCAGCCACCTGCACCAAGCAGGAAAGACAACTGGGGTCAGATGACCCCAGCAAGGTGACCATCCAGTCTCCTCTTGAAGATTTCCAGGGTAGGCGATTGCACCACCTCTGGAGGGAGCTTATTCTACTGTCTGGACACCCTAGTTGTGAAGTCGTTTTTACCTATGTTGAGCCTGAAACGATCTTCCAGGAGTCTGTGACCATTACTCCTAGTTTTCCCCAAAGGTGCCCTGGTGAACAGTTGTTCACTGAGCCCTTGATATGTGCCTCTGATGTAGCGGTAAGCTGCTACCAAGTCCCCTCTCAGCCTTCTTTTTTTTCCAGCTGAAGAGTCCCAGTTCTCTCAGCCTTTTCTTGTGTGGCTTGCCACGCAAGTCTCTGATCATACAGGTGGCTCTTCTCTGGACTCTCAAGCTTTACCACGTTCTTGTTGAAGTGCGGCGCCCAGAACTGGACGCAGTACTCCAGCTGCGGTCTCACCAGTGCCAGGTAGAGTGGGAGAATAACTTCTTTGGTTTTGCTGGAGATGTATTGATTGATGCATGCCAGGGTATTGTTAGCCCTGCTGGCTACAGCATTGCACTGCCGGCTCACGTTCATACTGTGGTCTGCTATTACCTTTAGATCCCTTTCATTCGTAGTGCTGGTAAGGTTGGCGTTGCCAAGCCTATAGGCATGCAGAGGATTGTTCATCCCCCAATGGAGCACTTTTACATTTCTCAAAGTTGAACTTCACCTGGTTCCGGTCTGCCCACCTTGCAAGCCTGTCTAGGTTCGCCTGTACAGAAAACCCTCGCTATTCGTGAACTCCAGTTTCGCAGGTTCAAATATTTGCAGGGGAGGGTAGAGCCGGGAGGTGGGCGGAGAGCAAGCGCTGGGGACATGGAGGGAGGCGGCGGCAGTGGCAGCATCTTCTCCCCCGAAAGCAGCCACGGCAGCACTTGGGGGGAAGGGGTCAGTCTCCAGGTGTTGTGGGGGAGCTCAGCGAACAATGGGGCGAGGGAGCAGTGGGCAGCTGTGGGGTCTGATGGGGAGCCGCTTCAGTATTCGTGGATTTCGCCATTCATGGGGATCTCCGGAACATATCCTCCACAAATGGCGAGGGACCTCCTGGATTTGCAGCCTATCTTCAAGCATGACCACATTCCCCCATAACTTGGTGTCGTCTGCAAACTTGGCCAGTGAGCTCTTCACCCCCACATTCAAATTGTTGATGAAAATTTTGAATAATACTGGACGAAGCACTGACCCCTGCGAGACACCACTGGGCACTTCTTGCCAAGATGACACAGATCTGTTCATTAGAACTCTCTGGGTCCTACTCCACAGCCAGCTGCCTACTCACCTGACTGTCTTGCAGTTAAGCCCACAGTCTTCCAGTTTTCTCTCAAGAACATCATGGGATACCAGATCGAAAGCTTTTTGGAAGCTGAGGTATATAATGTCAACCTCCTCGCTCTTATCCGGGTGGCGAGTCACCTGAACGTAAAAGGAGATGCGGTTAGTGAGACAAGACCTGCCTGCAATGAAGCCATGCTGGCTGTCATCCAGAATCCTACCTTCTGCAAGTCTATTGCACATAGACTCCTTAACGAATTTTTCCAGGATTTTCCCTGGGGTAAAAGCTAGGCTAATTGGTCTATAGTTACCTGGGTCCTCCCTCCTCCCCTTCTTGAAGATGGGCACAACATTGGCCCTTTTCCAGTCCTTGAAGACCTCCCCAGAGCACCATGAGTTTTGGAAGAGATTCACCAGGGGTCCCGTAATTACTTCGGCCAGCTCCTTCTTTGTTGTGTGCTCAGGATGAAAGGTGGTGGTATGAAGGTAGCTGTAGTGGCCAGTTGGTTTCCAGTACTTGGTGGCAATGTAGCCATTTCAAACCATCACTGTAGTATCTAGGAAATAAATCTGCTGCATGGAGAGTTCCAGAGTTAGTTTGGTGGAGGGGTGGAAGTTGTTAAAGTCTTAGTGAAATTTCTCTAGAGATTCCTTTCCATGTGTCCATACAATGAAAGTGTCATCAATGTACCTTAGCTAGATCATGGAGATGAGAGTGCAACTGTGGAGGGATCAAACTTCAAGGTCTGTTATAAATATGCTGGTTTTCTGGGGGGGCGTATGGTGCCCATGGCAGTGCCATTCGTTTGTACTTATAGGGAGTCTCCAGACCTGAAATAGGGTGGGTGGGTGTGGACAAAATTGGAGAGTATAATGGAAACTGAAGTAATTTTCTTGTTGGAGATAGTGATCTTTATGGCTTGTAATCTGTCTTCATGGGGGGATGGCGGTCTCCGGAGACATGACATCCATGGTAGCCAATATGGCATTAACTAGTAGCTTGTTAGTGGAGGCCAGTTTCTTTAAAAAAATCTGTGGTGTCTTTCAAATAGCTGGCATCTCCAGTGGTATATGGCAGGGGTTGTCAACTGGGGGTACTTGGAAAGGGGCTCGGGGGTACACGTGGGCAGGCGGGGATGGAGTGTTGCCACCCACCATCCTGTGTCATTGCCTCCCAGAAGCCGGGGGGCGAGAGCAGCAGCTCCCCTCTATGGGCCGCACAGGTGCCGCCCAGTCGGCCAGATGCAGTGGAGGGGGAGGAGTTTGCACGCAGTGGCAGCCGCTGCCATCCATCACCGCGCAACACTGACGTGTACTAGCCCCCTACCCCGCCGCTCCACCAGAAGTGTACCCAGAAGGGGTACACTCCTTAAAAAAAGGTTAAAAACCCCTGGCATATGGGAATAGGATGGAGTCTACATAGTCAGAAACTCCCACCATGACAGTGCCACTACCAGAGACAATGGGGTGTCCTGAGCTGGCCGGCTTGTGACTCTTGGGTAATAAGTAAAGATTGCCTGGCTTGGGCTCCTGGGACATGGAAGCAGTAATCCTCTCCTGGGTTTCCCAAGGTATGTCCTGTTCATCCAGTTCCTCTGGTATTGTGATTCTTGTAATCATTAATCACTGCTTTGAAAGCTTAACCTTTTTCTGACTCTTTTCTTTTCCCATGTTGATGGCTATTTAGAAACATACTTACACTTTTGGGAATAAGCTATGCTGGTATATAAGCATCTTTAAACCAATATAACTTTGTCCGTACTAGTGGAGCTGCAATACTTAAATGATCTCATTCTAGCTAAAGCAGTACAAAAACTATTTAGACAAGATCTGGGAGAGCTCCAGCTATCATAGTATTGTATAGAGAGATTGGCATTGTATGTGATAAACAGGTCTTAAAGTTTTAAAATGACCTGAAATCTATCTAGAAATTTGCTGGCTGCCAATTGAGGTATGAAACACTATTGTTTTGTGCTATTAGCATGATAAGCTACTTCATGAGTGGCATATTTTGCAGTAACTTCAGCTTCTGAAAAAATCTCCATGCTTAATGTCATATAGAGTATGTTATGGAAGACTGTGCTGTAGACTTTCAACGGCCTGGGACCTTATGCATTTGATTGAAGATTGATTCTCTGTGCTTTGATACACTCAGTGTTCTTGTGTACTCAGGGCCACAGTAAGCTGGCTACAGTGCTTGATTGTTGCTAGGCTTTGGTGTGCACAGATTAGGAGTGAGTGGATAGTATTTGTTTCCTGGCAGCCATCCTGGGCTCAGGAGGGAGATATCATAGACCATGGAGGTACCATTGTTTTCACAGGACCTGTGTTTTAGGCTAGGTATGGATGTTTAGTTTTTATTGGGTGAGTTGCTGTTCTTTTGGTAGAAGCCAAAAGTGTACAACTGTTCAGGCTTTTTGTCCAGGATCAAAAATGACCAGTCTGTGAGAAAAATAACCCAGAAACAACTGGAGTTAAAACACTCCCAGGAGAGGTTTCTCCAGTTAGACTTTCTCTGGCTAAGTTCTTTCTGCAGACCAGCAGGAAGCCAGGGAAAAGCTCCCTGCTTTTCTGAGACTGATTACCCTGGTTTTGAAGAAGGTGTAAGGAGTAGAGATACACTGATACATCAGTCCAATATCGGATCGGCATCAATATAAAGAAAATTGGCCATATCAGAAATCAGTCTGATCGCTGATAAATGCCCATGCGTGTGCACAGCCGCAGCGTAGCATGCAGGCAGCAAGAGCACACCCCAGCAGCTTGAAGAGCTGTGTGCAGCTGGTAAATTGGTTGTGGTGGAAGAGGAGGGAAGGGGCATGGGGGGG